CTGCCGCTGCCGCTGCCGTAGGCGTGGGCGATGATCTTGAGCTAGTAAGTCCAGCGCCAGCACTATTACTACCGCTGCTGTTGTGCTCATGTAATCGCGGTAGTGTTCTGCTGGTGAAATGTGGGCTACTATGATTGCTACCGCTAACGCTACCGTGTTGACTCGCCGCTGCCGCTGACATATGTTGCTGCAACTGTTGCAGTGGATGCATTTGTAGGTGATGATTGTGTTGGTGTTCCGCGCCTGGTACCAGTGGTAGGCCGTAATCGTTGGGATAGCCGCCGCCGGCGCTAACACCAGCGCTGGACGAACCCGAAAGATTAGTGGTGGTTGTTGAAGCCGTCGAATGCGTACCACCGCCACTCATGCCACCCATACCACCGCCATTTGAGTTATGCAGCATCGCTGCCGATGAGGTGGAGGGATTGTGCAGCATACCATTGGAGCCAACTGTTTCATTACTATTGGTGGGCGCCAATCCACCGGCGAGCTGTAAGTTGTTATAGTGCGAGCGCGGGAATGTTTTGCTGAAGTAGTCGACGGTGCGTTCATGCAAGTCGTAAAGTTGGTGTGACTCCATGATAGGCGTCTTATCAGTATAACGCTTCAGGTAGAGGTCGTCGGCAGAGGAGGTGCCCGTAGGCGAATTCTCCCACAAGCCCGAGGGGTAGAGGGAATCACAACCACCCGCGCGACTGTATTCACCACTCGAGTTGCCCAGTTCGGTGCCCAAATTTGCCGTCAATATTGCTGGTATTCTTAAATCGACGAATTCATCACTGCCGTAACGTTTTGTGTCATTAATGAGATCTGGGTTATTGCCAGCCGACGCCGTGGGCGAGAGAAAGCAGGGTGCCGTGGATAGTACGCTGCCATTATTGTCATAGCCAGTTGCGGAGTATGGCAGATCGGTGAGGCGCGGTGGTTTCTGTACAGGGTTGGCAAAGCCCGCCTCATTCGCCGCCATTGCTGCACTGCTCTTTCGTTCCAATGAGCCAGCTGCGTCAATATAATTAGGTATGTCGCCATTGACAATAACTACGCCCCCCATGCTTCCATTTCCGTTTATAGGTTGCTGCTTGTTCGTTATAGAATTCTGATGATTACCACTCGTCACCACCTCCATGTGGTTGGGCGTCTTGCTTTCGGTGTACGGCTGGCGCTTGACACGCATGAGCAGGAACATAACCGCCAGCAAAATGCATACGATTAACACTACCAACGCCGCGCTAAGGCCAACAATTTGTCCGCTGCCCAACGACGCCATGCCTGCGGCACGCATACTCACATGTAACGTGAAGTTGGCCTCCGCAGTGCCTGCACGGTTTTCCGCAACGCAGTAAAATTCACTGGAGTCCGTTTCCTGCGCATTTGTTATCACTAAACGCGAATGTTTCTCGAAGTGTCCACTCTCGTAGATATGCACGCGTTGATAGGAACTGAATGCGCTGTTGTTCGCTAGTAGCCTACCATTCCAATACCAATTCATGACGGCAGCTGGAATAGCTTTTGCGCGACACACCACCGAAGCATTCTCACCCATTGTCGCCTCCACATAATGGCTGATGGGCAACATTTCTGGCCGGCAGGCAAAATCCTCGACCTGCAGATCAGAGAAGGTGCGATCTATTATTCGCTCGGGTCCACCTGCGCACAGTGGTGCCACCGGATAAGGTATATTCTTCTGCGTCAACCATAGTTTCGCATCACGCATGCGACAATCGCATAGCCACGGATTGTCGTGCAGTTCGATACCGTGCAGCTTACTCAGGGTCTCGATCGTGCGTGGCAGTAGCACACTCAGCTTGTTGCCGTTCAAGCGCAGCAGCGTCAGACCTTCCAGACCATCGAAGGCTAGTGGCGCTATGGACTGTATGTCACAGTGCGACAGATCCAGCTTGTGTAGCGCAGGCGTACTGGCGAACGAGTTTGACTCGATCTTGTGTATGTGATTGGAAGCGAGCGTCAATTCGCGCAACGAGGAGATATAACTTAATGCCAGCGAAGGCACCACTACTAGCAAATTCTGTGACAAATCCAGTTCGACCAGATTGGTGAGACCCTTAAATGTTTCCGGCTCAATTTCGCCTATCTTGCAGCTGCGCAAATACAATTTCTGTAAGTTCAACAAATTTGCGCGTATGAATTTCTCATTCGACAGCGTTTGCAGCTTATTGCCCGACATGTCCAACACCTGTGTTGACGGATCGATATTCTCGGGTATTTGTATGAGCTGCCGGTCAATACACTCCACCGTCTGCTTGCCGCCCTTCCACTTGCACGCACACACCGTCTGACAGCTGCTCAGCTGTGGCTGCTGATGTATAATTAACGTGTTGTCCGCAGCGGGCACGTGCGTGTGCGTGTGATATGGTGGTGGTAAAACTGGTGGCAGTACTGCCGGTGGCGGTGGTAGTACTGCTGGCGGTGATGGTGGTGCAGGTAGCTTACCGAACTGCGCCATATAGTCATCGGTCATGGCCTGGCTGTCGGCCACCGAGTACACATCGTTATTGATGTTGGCGGCGTGATGCTTGCCGACAGCGCCACCTGCGTACACGGTATTGGTGGCATCGAGGGGAAAGTGTGGCGTGGTTAGACTATTGCCGCCACTTGCGGCGCCATACGAAATATGACCCGAACTTTGGCGATTATAGCGTGTGGCCAGCGACACAGGTGGCTGGCCGATGAGTAGCAGTAGCGAGATGAGTAGATGTGGCCACAGTGGTGGCAGCAAGCGAGTTGAGTTAGGAAATTTGATGCGGTTCTGTGTTGTTTTCGACAGCGACTTCCGGCAGAGGTGAAATGGATGTGTATGTGGATGTGAGCACGGCTGCCTTGGCCTGTAGCGGCAGGTGATGTAGAGTAGTTTTTGTTGATTTTGCATTTTTTCCGATTTTTTAATCGCCGACTCAGCTGTTACGTATGGTAGTTAGTTGAGTTTAGGACTTTGTTAGTGCACATGAGTGCATATTGAGTATCTTCATTGAAAGGATATACTGCTCGGCGAATGTTGTTTGCGGTGCAGAGCTTGCGCGATATGCAATTTCAGTTAGTTCTATTTGGGAGACATGTGTCTCTTTTATTGTGTTGTATGTATTGCTTTCTTTTTTTTTGCACTTGATATGTGAAATTTTTTCTTTCTATCTGCAGTCTTAGTTGGATATACGACAAGCTGTATATTTTACTAGTCGCTGCATTTTTTTGCGTGGTTTTTTTTCTGAAGTAGTAGTTTTTTGTATTAGTTTTTACCTTTGCGTGAGCTTTTCACTGAACGTGAGGCTCAGCGTCTACACTTTCTTCAATATTAATTAATTATTAATAAGTTTACACTCAAAATGTTCTGCACGCAATTCAGTCGTACGCCTGCTGTTTGGGGAAGAGGTGAAAGGAAAAGCGTGTAAGCAACTATGATAAATTAAGGTCGAAAATAAAAGCGATTCCGTATAAATGTGAAAATTAAAAATAGTTATTTTTTTCTTTTTTCTAAACACGGTTTCCACGCGGTTTTTGATGAATTCTATGATTGTGGGAGCGTCTGAAATGTTTGCTTCACATTTGCCCCTAAATTAAACGCTGCTGGCTTGAAAGAGGGAAAGGGTCACAACAACAACACGAACAAACAAAATCTGAGTAAATGATTTATGCGTCGCTGGCTCTACATTTTTGAATTCTTTTGTTTTGCTTTTACTTTTTTTTAGTTTTCCTTTCACGAAAGCATTGCTTTTGTGAGCTGTGTGCTCCTTTTTTGTTGTAGAGCTTATGCTGAGCTTTGCATTTGATTTTCACACACACAATTTTCACAGGGATTCGCGCTTAACCTTTGATAATTAACATAAAGCACGCGCTGCTGCATTTAATGCGTGTCCTTGTCGCTGCCGTCGACGAGTTCTTCAACTAGATTTTTTTGTTTTAATTCTTTGTTTTTTAGATTTTACGTCAGCATTTTTTGTCGATAACGAGGGAATGTGCTTTTGTGTTTGTGTTGTTTATTAGAATGTATGTATGTATATGTGTATGTAACTGTCGCTTAGCGAAGGTGGGTGGTTCATGGTCATAGAACTGCTCTTTTTATGTATGTCTCAGATGGTATTCAAACACTGATTTATTTGTGTTTTTTTCATTTTTATTCCTTATGTCTCTTAACGTTTTGATACACCTTTTCTTTATGAGAAAAAAGCTTACTTTTAATTGACTACTGTGAAATGTTTCGCGAAATAACTTACAACTTTCATGTAACGTTTTCACTAACCACCAGAAGCTTTAAACGCTAAGATTTGCGCTCACACCAAACACTGTCTATTTTCGACAACTAAAATTCTATGCAGTCGATATTTATTTTTTTGCTGTTGATAACATTACGCGAAACTCTATTTCACTTCACTTCGCTGTGTTGTTGTTCGCATAAATTATATCCTAAACACGATCTACCTCCTGCCGCGCGCACAATCATCCCTTCGACTTTTTGATTACGTTTGTTCTAGCGATTTGGTGCATGTAATTTTTTTCTTCGTTTTTTTGCAACTAACAAGCGTTACATTTCTAAACGCACACATCCAGAAAATCACAAATGCAACGTATACTCTACTGCCCACTGATAGACGCGGAATTTTCACATCCGCTTTGTAGTTTCAATGCAGGCGCTGCCGCTACCGCCAACGTCAGCGTGTTGCAAAATTCATTGCCCGAAAAAGGATGCGCGGCGTTACTTTATCAGCTTGTTGACTGGCTCACGGACTGCCTAACAGCCTGCCAGTCTATTTGCCTCGCAGCTTCGGCTAGTTTTGCTTCGTTTGGCACAATTTCGCATTTAACGATTTTTTACTCCGACACGCTGTCGTCTATTTCATTCAGTAAACTACATACACGAAAATTCACGAAAATCTTCAAAATTCCTCACAGCAAAAATTTGCAATCAACGCGTACCTATGTGTATATTTTTTATTGAAATTTTCACATTTATCCAATTGTTCGTTTCTTTTCCACCTTAAGTGTCGTTTACTTGTAATCTCTGTGGTTCACTTCATTTGCAAATTATTTATTGCCTTTATGTTGACGAATTTTATAATTTTTAGCAACATTAATGTGTACACTTGTATTATGATTTCACATTCAAATTGACATTAACAATTTTATAACACCGCCTTTACGAATGCACCCAACCGCTCGTCATGGTTAATCGTCGTGGACTGAAGAAAAATGAATTGAACGCAAACTCAAAATGCGCTATACTAGTTAGCACAACGACAGCGCCGCCGATGGTAGCGACGAACCGGATGGAGTACGAATCAATGCCATGGCAGTGGAGCATACTGGCTAGCCCATACATGTACGTATGTTACTCCAAACATAAGTCGCTCAGAGTCAACAGGATTTTGGTGCGCTCCATGCAGCTGCTGGTGCGCGATGAAGTGAACCATTATGTGTGTGTGTGTGGGTACGCGCGGGTCAGTGAGTATATCAACTGGAGACTTCTCTCTGCACTTTACCTTTTTAACGAAGCGGAAAATGAGTTTTACACAAGAAGCGCGCCGCTCACTGGAAATGCCGGAAAGGTAGCGGTTGGGGTGGAGATGGTGACGTTGGGAAAACGCTAGCAACATGCTGCTGATACATTTGTGGCTAACATTTGATACGCGCATGCAGTTGTCGTTGAAGCCTTCAGAAAGTCTATTCAACTGATAGTTATTTAAGTTTACTACCCATCGGATGTTTAAAAAGAGGGAATTAAGTGCTCACCTCGGAAATGTCAACCAACATCAATAAGGTGCTGTTCACTGGAACCAAGTTCACCAAATTAATTGCTGGTCCATTCCGCTTGCCCATTCCACTAATTCAGACTAAAATGTAGTGAATAAAGAACAATAAGCAACCGAACTCAGATAGATGTAAAACATCTACATACTAGCATACTTAACACATACGGAAGGTCTATGGTATAGTTAATGAACGGCGGAAGGTATTACCTTTCGTTGGTGCATGCGTGGGTTTGGCTCATAGCTCTTGTATTTACAGATCAATCCTTTAGTATTAAAAATTTATTAAATCTTGGATTTGTTACAGCTGCATCGTATACCGCCGTGAGCGATGAGGATCCTGAAAATCCTCAAAAGAGCCACAAAGGTGAACCTGCCGGATAGAACGACTCCTTAAAAATCACACAAAAAATCGGAACCATATATAAACGAAGGAAGTTATCTACATTGCAGCAAAACGCAAAAATACATACTGGGCTAGAAAGATGCGCTGGCGTCACATCACCAATACAATGCCCCAACAGGATTGTTATCTATGTACGAGCAGTGACTAAGTAATCGTACACGTGCAGTAATCTGACTAGTGCGCAACGGGAACGCTAAAGATGAAAGATGGTTCAAAACGACATTATAGCAGCGCTGGTAATACTGGACGACCCTGAGAAAAGATATGGCGAATAAAATTTGTCACAGAAATATACCAAAACGGATTCTGGGAAAACCTAAATATTCTGGATATTTATGGGGAACCACTGCCGCTATACCAGGGCACCAGGTAAGGCCTTGTTGGAGAAACTGAACGCGGTTTATATGGCTTACTTTGCAGGCCATGGTTCGTAGGATACGGTGTACTTGAATTAAGTTTCGCCGTAAGATTGCTGCTTTAAGCTTTCCGGTCGGTTTCTAAGGCTGGGGGTAACGTTATATTAAATATTCCGACCTATCTGCTGAACGTAATTAACCGAAATAGGCCAGAAGGTTGTTGAAATATGTAAAATTCCGGTACTCGAGGTTGGAAACAAACAAAATTCCTGCCTTCCTGACTGGGAAAGATTTCAAAAGTGCTTATATATATTCCATAGTCCAAGGAAGTCTTTGATATATTAAGGAGAATTTTAGTTACTTACTTCTTTCGATAAATACTAGAAGGAGTAGTCAGATTTCAGCGTACCCGAAAGAACGGCTGCTATGATGGGGAATGTCATGCCGCTGCAGACAAAAGTAATCCCCTGGCACTGAAGAGGCAAGCCAAAGGTATTTGGCGTAGTAAGCTAAGCGGTCACCCCTCGATACGCACTGGCAAACCTTCAAGAGAATTCAGCCATGAACAACTATAGGTTCCTCCTGTTGTTACGACAACATCACAATCACGCACGCCACAATCCGATGTCAGCGGTAAAAAAATCTCAATGTCTGTTCTACCTTCTCGAATGATTTACGGGTGTTTGCACGTTGGCGGCGGCGAGTTCCGCAGACAGTGCGACGATGTGCTGTATGAGCTCCACAGCGATATAGAATATGAAGCGGTAGCGCAAGATGTGAACCTTTTATCATTTATAAATTGGGTGACTTCAATGGAGAAGCCAGGCGCTAGCTGCCGTAGGCTGATGTGCAGTGATCTGCGAGTAGGCGTGCTTTGTCAATGGCTACCATAAGTCCTCTTCTGCGATGGTAAGACCAGGTGAAGAAGGACTTTGTTTCACTACTTGGCTTTTACATTTGACGCTAGTTGATAAATGTGAGAAACGACTGGGAGCTTTATTTTAAGTGCAGATATACCAAAATGAGATATTTTTCTTACAAGAGTTTTCTGATTTTAAACATCACGATTTTACTTGCAGTAATATCCAGGGTTTTGTGTCTGCTTCAATGTATCGCTCTCATTAGGCGCCCAGTTAACCTTTTACATCTCATCCTTAAAAAACATAGTTGACACATTTTTATATACAATGTAAGTATGTATGTACTATGACTATATATATACATGTACATATCGTCACCTGAAATGCAAGAATAAGTAATAACAGCAACGTAATTGAAATAGAAAAAGTCCTGAAAAACATTTTTTATTTTTTTCATAAAATTATGCGGGAATTATAATTCGATGAAATCCATCTTATCAATCAAAAACTGAATTTTTAATTTGTTATTAGTTGCGACTATTTTTATTTCAGCGACGATGTTTGTTACGTCTTTTTGCATTTCAGGTGACGATATAGTACCTATGCTGCTATTTCGGAGTTTACCATAAGAAGCCACATGTGGCCGAACCGGTTCATTACAATTTTACTAAACAATATTGCTTGGAAATGCAACATTTAACCGTTTTGCAACAAGTTCTTGCAACATATTGCTGATTGAAGTTTGTTTCGACTTGTTGGTAGATTTGTTTTCTCTTCGAGAGAGAGATTCACTTCTTAAATTTACATAAGTTTGCATTGAAGAATAACCTATATGTATTTACATAAGTAAGTAAGTATTGCAAAGCATCAAAATTTTTGCACAAATATATTAGTGTATATACAATACATAGTGGAATATAGTATGAAAGAATATAAACACGAAATATTGAACTTAAATAAAAATTTTAAATTACATGGGTACATACAAAAAAAAAAAAAAAAAAAAATTCAAAATAATTTTGTACGTACTTATAAACAATTTAGAATTCATATATAAACAAATATATATACATGTACATATGTATGTATTGTATAATTGAATTTAAACTTTACTTTTCTTATCGCTCTCGTCCTGGAGAGCTGACCTGCTGTTATTAAAATCTCAGAGTATTGCAGTCAGCAAAACATTGAGAGAGGATAAATGAGAACTTTATACACTCATACATACATACATACATAGTTATATATGAAGCTCACTACCAATTTCATGCATCAGTTCATAAATCTCAACCGAATCCGACACCCACGAAAACTATAAGCAAATACAAATGGGGTGGCTTGTGAGCCTGTCGCGGCGGAAGGAGAGCACACGCTAACGGCAAAAAAGTTCCTTGTGTTGCATATAGAGTCGCAACAGTAACCTGCATATTGCATGCGAATCGTAGATTTGTATGTACATATGTATGTATGTGTGCATGCATACAAATATACGCTCGTTTGTGTAGAGCTGCTAAGCCAAAATGTGGCAAGCATTTGTGAACCGCTGTTGCATGTTGCAATTGCCACAGACACTTGACTTACTCCCACAGTTGTTGCTGCTGGTGCAGCTGTTGCTGTTGCCGTTGTTGCTGCTTGCTTTCCGACATTGTAGTTGTCAATATTTGTTGCTAGTCTACTAATGTACATACATACATATGTATGCAGGTACCTACAGTTGTTGTATTTGCAGAGTTGTTACAGTTGTTCTTCAATGTTTTGCCTTTCTCTCGACCATTTCTTGTTTTAGGTTTGTTTAGTCTTCTTCTTCATCAGCTGCTATGCCATTTTTATTTTTTTTTAGTTTGAAGTGAAGGCGGCTGCAAGCATATTTTGTTGTTTTCACATTTTCTAGGCAACTGGGCTAATCGATTTAGTGTAGGGATCAATGCTTTTGTAGCCATTCTAACAACAACAACAACTGATTCCATAAGGTGCGCATAGCAACAAAAGCAACACAAGAACACAAGAAAGCAGCAGCAGCATAAGATTTTTTATTCTTTGCTCCACTGCCTTGTGTCATTCTT